TATATATGTATATATATGTGTATATATGTATGTATGTGTATATATGTATATATATGTATGTATGTATATATATGTATATATATATATATACACACACACACACATACACGCGTGCCTCCCATACTTAACAACTTCTTTTAAAGAGGAAACACTTAAATCAGTTGCAGTTTTTTCCATGTGAAATCTCTAACTTTGCTCTATTTTTCTACCAGGCGGAGCTCTAGGTGGGCTGATGGGTAGCTGGCTAACTCGCGGTCAGTTTAGACCTCTGCCGGAGCTCTTGATGGAGATGTCAGCCAATCAAAAACAGCAACTCTATGATGAGGTTGTAAATGTGTTAAGTGGACTGGACTGGATGGATGCTGCCCAGCTCATCGCCCTGGTGATGGGCAATAGCACACTGCAGCATCAGGTGATTGCTACACTGCTCAACTACGTCACTAAAGAACTGAGAGCTGATGTCCAGTACCAGGTGTGATAGAATGAACAGTCGGAAAGGTAAAAAAAAACTTCAGTGCTTCAAAAACTGTTGTTTCCCATTTGTATTTATTCGATTAACAATCTATTGTCATTACCTGGATAATTGACTGATTATTTACTTATGTGTATAAGATGTTGACAAATATATAATTAAAGGTGAAGTAACACAAATTGTTTGTTCGATGCTAATTAGATGTCTTATTAAAGAGCAACCTCACTTTATGCCTTCACACAAACTTAATTTAAATTTTTTTAAACCTAACCTTTTGCACATACTAATACGTCTTTTCCCGTCTTACTTCAAACTTCATCGTTGCAAAATATATGCAAGATATTTAGGGGTAATCGGCCGATATTAGCATGATTATGTAATATCTGTAAGGATTGTTTTTGGTTTTTTTGTCCAGTAATGAAAACCCCATAATGCAAAGCCTGGGTTCCCCCAAATGCTGTGCGCTCTACAAATGACTTTTATCAAGTAATGAGTAAAGTACAGGATTACAATAGCAAAAACAGTAATTAGAATACTGTAAAGTGTAATTTCATACAATTTTATATGGAATATGCAGTGAATGGTTTAAGTAGGGATGTCCGATATTAACTACCGGTACTAGCTAATATCCTACTGCTGATATTGTCCAAACACTTAATTTCAAATTCCGATATCAACCTGATTGACATGATTTTGTTACTATTAAACTTCTTCTGGCTATTCCGTTATTTTACATAGTTATAAAACATAAAGACTGTCACACCATTTATATTTCTTGGTCAAATGTCAACTGGCAAATGATATCTTTGTAATAGATTCTCCTCTCATGGTCAGCAAGTGCCATCAGCATTTCTGTCATCTCATCCTGAGTGAAACTTTCTCCTGGTGTAAACATAAACATATGCAAAAAAAAAAGTAATTCATAAAAATAAACACATACATACATTAATAACTTAATTAAAGTCTTTTCTCCCCACCTTCCTTTGTCATCAACTCCACCATCTCTTCAGAATCCAAGTATCCCTTGCTGTCTTTGTCCAGAACCTGAACACACACACACACTTAGCGTTTTATTATTATGTCAAGGATTTGACATTCGGCGGCGAAATACTGCTTACCTCAAAGGCTTGAATCAACACATCCTCAGGGATGGAAGGAAACCTAATGAACACAATATATATATATATTATTAATAACACATTAATTGTGTCAATTATTTTGTATATATATAATAATCGTATGTGTTTTTATTAATCACTGGGTTATATATATATGTAAATATATATATGTATATATATATATATAAATATATATATATGTGTATATATATATATATAAAAATTTATATATATATACAGTGGGTACGGAAAGTATTCAGACCCCCTTAAATCTTTCACTCTTTATTATATTGCAGCCATTTGCTAAAATAATATAACTTCATTTTTTTTCCTCATTAATGTACATTTGGACACAATGTACAGTACGTTTGGGCAGCCATAATATTTAGAAATATATTTATTAAAAACGATGCTTCTTGTGCTACCCAGTTGAAATAAAAAAAAAAAAAAACTTCTAGAAACAAATGTTAATTACACAGCTAATACAAACAAACAAGACGATTGTCTTACTTGTGCTCCATCAGCACATTGGTCATGACTGGGAGAAACTTGTCCAGATGGACACTTCCTGTATGGTCCTCTTCTAGCTGTTTAACCAGGACAAAAACTCCGGGTTAAAAACTGGTACCAATCGAGTCTCCACAGATTCCTCATTTTGACGGACAAAAAGTTGAATTTGTCTTAGCATAAATGAGTAACATATTAAGTAATTAAAGGTCTGTAAGAGAAGTGTTTTTTTTTTACATTGCATCAAAAACATATTCTGCATATTAAAAAAAAGATTATACTTACCTCTGCTATAAATTCATGTATGTCTTTTTGCGAAGGAAAGCAACCAAGTGAATAGATGATAGTTGTAATTTCCCTTAAGAAAAGATTTTTAAAAAAACACCAGTTTTAACCTTACAGGACAGAGGATTTACAGAAATGACTTGACTCTCCATTGGAGCAGATGACTCGGAAACAGAAGGAAATCCTTGGCTATATTACAGCCTACTCTTTGTTTTCAAATACAAACGAGGCAATAGCTTTATCATGGGATACAAAATGTTCCAGCCCTGGAGGACAGAGGTGTCAATGTCAAAACTTAAGTGTGCTTTGGTGGCTTGAATTTGCAGTATTAGCATCCAAATTGATCAATTGGATTTGAATTGTTGATTAAAAACAACTAGTTGCAGATTGCATGTTTGCATCAAGTAATTTAAAGTAACTAAATACATTTTAAATTACGTTTTTTTACTTGATTTGAGTAGATTTTTAGATGGGTACCTTTACTTTTACTTGAGTAGAATTTAAGCAAAGTAAAGATACTTTTACTTAATTACATTTTTAGCACTTTTTCCATCCCTTTTCCATCATTTGTCATTTCCAGTATTTCATTCTCTTTTCACTCACAGACCAATGACAGTAAGATCCGTAAGTAAGGAGCTCACCTGACATCCACTGTGTTGTTCATTTCATAGTCAAATGCTTGGAAAGCATCTTTGACCCTCTTGTGGAGACTGTGAACATCAGATGCTGAGATGTCTGACAACATGGGCACAGAGTTGCGACTATTAATAAATCCTAATTCCGAGTTGGGTCAAAACATAAATAAAGTAAATTTGGAATTTTTTTTATTCAATTCAATACACTACTAACACAAATAATCAATATTTCAACTGACATTATTTATTAATGAAATATGACGCACTTTGATGACATTTTTAAAAACCCGCCCAAATTTAGAGTTAGAGTTGATTAGGAACAAACTTTCCTGTCCAAAGTTAAGAACAGGACACCAGGCTGCAGGCATTTATTTCTTCTTTCAGGACAGTCACAATATCAATATCCAATAAAGTTAAATAACATTAACCAATTAAAATTAAGATAGGGACAAGAAGACACCAGACATCATGTAAGAATGTGACAACATTATGTAGCTTGTTAGGGTAAAAAAAAGGACAAACTAACCTGCTCTCTGAATGCCCTCTGCCATGTCTGCTGCCTCTTTATGTTGCCTAACAACACCATCAACAACAAATGCTGCCAAGGGGCGTGGCCATACTGCAGACCAATCAGTGAGACGATCAAACTTAAAGAGGCCAGGACTAGCTTCTTTTAGCTCCTCTTGGTTATTAGCAGAATTCCTGAAGCTTCTCAGCGTAAAGGTTAAGCACTATGACTGCATTTACCACCCCCCCAAAAAAAGCAAAGTAATTAAAATAGTTAAAGTAAAGCTTTAGCACACTGGCTCTGAAGGTTACTTTCTGTGACTCATTTAGTTATATTGGTGGTGTTGTGGAAAGGTTTTCCATTGTTGAAGCTAGTGAAAGGAGAAATAAGTGATGCTTTGAATTGTGATAGATAGATAGATAGATAGACAGATGGATGGATAGATAGATAGGTAGATAGATAGGTAGGTAGATAGATAGATAGGTAGGTAGATAGATAGATAGATAGGTAGATAGGTAGGTAGGTAGATAGATAGGTAGGTAGGTAGGTAGGTAGGTAGATAGATAGGTAGATAGGTAGGTAGATAGATAGGTAGATAGGTAGGTAGATAGATAGATAGATAGGTAGATAGGTAGATAGATAGGTAGGTAGATAGGTAGGTAGGTAGATAGATAGATAGATGGATGGATAGATAGGTAGGTAGGTAGATAGATAGATAGATAGGTAGGTAGGTAGATAGATAGATAGGTAGGTAGGGAGGTAGGCAGGAAGGTAGATAAATATATAGATAGATAGATAGATAGATAGATAGATACATAGATAGATAGATAGATAGATAGATAGATAGATAGATAGGTAGGTAGGTAGGTAGGTAGGTAGATAGATAGATAGGTAGGTAGATAGATAGATAGATGGATGGATAGATAGGTAGGTAGGTAGATAGATAGATAGGTAGATAGGTAGGTAGATAGATAGATAGGTAGGTAGATATATAGATAGGTAGGTAGATAGATAGGTAGATAGATAGAAGGATTAGACCTTATTATTCATTTGTCGGATCCCTTTGGGAAATTAATCTGCAAATCTGCAAATCTTTATACGTGTCAAACATGGGCGCGCCTACTTATTGATGTTGCCCATGTTGGACTAGTTTCTTTAGATCAGGGGTCATTAACACGGTGCCTACACTTGCAATGGTATTCACTTGCAGTGTTATTATTACACTGTTTGGGAAATCTGTATCAAACACGTAGCTCTTCATATTGCTGAGTGACCTCTCGGTTTCCAAAAGGTTGGTGATCCCCGCTCTAGATATTTACAGAGTTACCTAGGAGGTGGTCTATGCTTCAGTTACTGTATCAAGACGGTATACCTAGAGTCAAACAATGTGATCGGTTCAGTCGGCATGGACACAAGGGTGCTCAGAATAAGACAACAAAGCTGAATACAGACAGTCTGTTTCAGTAAGATATTCACCAGTGAATGATTTATTGATTTATTATAATTGATTTATCTTGATGTATCGTTGTTGTTGTTTTTTTAATTCTATATAAATTCTATATAGAAATTGTATTTATAAATTCTATAAATTATGTTCAACTCTGAAAGAGTATCAGCCAGGAAGGACCATCATGATACTTGTGCTTCAGATAAAGCTGTAATTGTGATAAACTCTGTAAATAGTATGCACTTAGAATACATATTTTACTTCTTTATGTCATTTAATCTGCATAATCTCTAAGAACTGTTCAATATCTTGTATTTTTGTTACTGCTTTTTTTGTTTTTGTTTTTGTGGTTGTTGTCCAATATACATATGCTACAGCTAACTTTCACTGCCTATGAGGCAAAGCTTACACTCAGCCACAGGCACACTAGGCCACATGGATTCTGATTTCCTCTAAAAATGGTGTGGGGACGGGGGGCAAAGGGAAGTGCACATGGGCGCCAAATGGCAGGGGGATCAGCAGGTTCTAACAGGTGCCTAGTGTCTGGTGTCAATGCTAGCTTGCTACGGTGTTTTTTTTTTTTTGTTTTGGGTTTTTTTTTGGGTTTTTTGCTACAGCAACCTCTAGATATTCCAAGACAGTTAGTCAATTACAACACTATGACAGAATTTATGTCATTATGCATTTTCTTTACAAGTTGAAGTAATTAACCTACACTCCCTTCTGTTTCCATGACTGGCTCATCAGCACATTCCTGATTTATCTAG